TGTAGACATTCAGCTTTACAAGTCTTCCCACTTTTCTGAATTCTTCAAAAAAAAGCATAACCTCTCTTTTTCTTCTATCTCTTTTCTAAGCATACTTTCTCTAACAATCGTGCTTGTACAACATTCTTACTCTTTCTCTAAATTTCCCCTCCCCACCATAATGTCTTACCTCCAAGCTGGCTTCAATGGCATAGAGTCTTTCCTTCTCTTCTCCGTTTCCTCCTCTGGGCAGCTGCTGAGATTTACAGCTCATCTACCCCAAGGGTTTTTCTTTAAAATTCTAATAAAACTATCTTTAAGCTTCCATTTGAGTCCATTCTTAAATTCTTTTGTTAACGAGACCAAGAATCCCAAGAGAAGACCCTGACTTTCCCCATATAACAGCCACCCAGATGAGACACCAAAATTCCAGTAGCAAAGCTACATCCATATCCTTTATACTGTACACAAGCCATTCTGAAGTGAATAAAAGACCTTAATGCAAGACTGAAACTTCTCGAGGATTTTAAAATGACTACTGTGGGGGTAATGAACCATTGTACCTGCTACTGCAATCCTGGACAAAGCTTATTGCTGGGGAGGTCATAGGTGCTAGCACGCCTGATGTTTTGCTAAGCGGATATGATGTTAAACTGCCCTCTAAATGTTTATACTTATGGATCAGAGAAACTGATCCTTGGTCAGAGAAACTTCTGTTTGTAGTGACAGTTAATGCAGAGAATCCTAACTGCTCAGTGTGCTGAAAACAACTGACTGCTGAGTGCTCAGCCCTAGATGGGACATCTACATCAGCCCTACAAGGTTCAAAGAACATCACAGAAAGGGGGGTGGGGACTGAAAGGACATAAGAGTTTTACAGCAGTGGGTGCTGTAAAATGTTGGCTTCTGGACTTGACATGGTTGTTGGTGAATTCATATATATATATGAAAACTGTAAAAGGATAAACAAAGTTTAAACATTAAGACACTAGAAAATCAAAATCATCTAATCATGAGCTAATGATATGAACACAAAGTTATCAAGGGAAGAGATACAAAAGGTCAATAAATGTTTGAAAAAGCGTTCAACATTCTTAAGCATCTGGGAAACGCAAATTGAAACTGCTTTAGGATTCCTTCTCACCCCAGTCAGAATGGCCATCACCAAGAAAAGGGTGTGAGGAAAGAGGAATGCTTACACACTGCTGGTAGCATTGCAACTGGCATGGTCACCATGGAGGTTGATGTGGAAGAACTACCATATGACCCAGCCATACCACTCCTGGGCATCTACCTGAGGGACTCGAAGCCAACATTCCACAGAGCTACTTGTCCACACAAGTTTACTGCTGCCCCATTCACAGTAGCTAAGAAATGGTCCTGGCATAGACTCTTGCCACCAGATGAACAATGAAGTTTTATTTAGCCATTAAAACAAATGATAACATGATATTTACAAAAAAAAAAAATCCGGATGGAACTGGAGATTATGTTAAGCAAAACAAGCCAGATTCAGAAAAGCAAATGCTACATGTTTTCTCTCATATGCAGACTTGTGTTTGTGTGTGTGTGTGTGTGTGTGTGTGTGTGTGTGAGCATGTTTTCTCTCATATGCAGATTTGTGTTTGTGTGTGTGTGTGTGTGTGTGTGTGCGTGCATGTGTGTAGGTCATGAAAGTAAGAAGGCAACCATGAAAAGGGAGGAATAGATCTTAAGGGAGCGGGGATGTGGGGTGGGGTGGGGAAATGGAATTCATGGGATATGAAAGCAAAAGGGAACATTGTTTTGGGGGAGGAATGAGACCACCAAGAGAGGAACAGAGGGAAGTGGGAGGACAGAACAGAAGGAGATGGATAAAAAGTATGTTGACATATATGTCTGAAAATGCCATCATGAAACCTATCACTGTGATAACTAAAAACATGCAAAAAATAAAATGGAAAAACCTCCAGTTTTCTATACTACTGAAGCTTTGTTTCAAGAGGAATCAGTTTTAAGTAAGTATTTATTGTATCTGCACAAGATAAATGTTATTTATTTCACTCATTTATTGAGCAATTTGACTAGTTAGTATACAGAGGCAAACAAGCAAAATAAGACCAATTCATGACAAGAGATTGGATGCAGATTCACAGTTGAGTGACGAGGACAGGGGAAGCTCAACTTTTTCTTTAAAATCTCAAAATAAATGGAAATCAGAACTTCAACTGAAGCCATTGTTATGACCCATATGGAATTTCCTCTATTCTACTAATGCCAGATATGATGCTTTCATAGCATAACAGCCACAGCCTTAACGAAAGATTCTGAAATAGCATTAACTGATGTAGGTGGTATCTCTTTAATACTGGAAGAAAGTATAGATATATGATGGCCAGAAACATCTGAAGTTGCACCAGTTATGCCAGTCCCATCACGGCCCTGACTGTACTTTAGTTACTTTTATCTGTCTGCTTCTGAAAGGTACGGTGGATACAGGATGTATGTCTACGTGGTATCTGGAAAAGGGCAAGGCTGCTAAAACTGAGAGAATGTTTTCAGTCACAGCCTCTCTTTATACTTATGTATATTCAGAACTGTGGTTGCCTGTCCCCAAAGAAACAACAACAGCTCACTCCTAGTCTGAATATCAAAAATTACAAATACATGGGCATTGTGGTTGTGAAAGAAATGGATTTTCATAGCCGAGGGAACGAACTGGGCTATGGAGTGAGAAGCAGTAGAGCTCCAGCCCCTGGATTTGGTGTATTCCTTACAGTATCTGTGTGTTTTCATCTACTTTTGCTCTGATTCCATTAACTCTTTCTCACCCGGGTCTTAACCACCGGATACCAATAACTTACCTTAAAAACAGATTCTGACGCAAGGTCCTAGCATACAGCCACTTTTCTTGCTGCACACTCAGCAGCATGAGAAGCATGAGCCAAATGACTTGGGACATTCTCTTTGACTCGCCTTGGCTAGACTGGGCAGCTTTTAGTGCATTTCTCTATGTTTCTGGGACTGCGCTAGTAAGTTCACTTTCACATACAATCATTCGATCACATAGACTTGCCTTCCTCATTGACTCTAGGTAATTTCCAAATTCCC